TGCCGGGCAGCGCGCCGGCACACTCCGTCACGGACGCCGCCGCGCACGCCGCCCGCACAGGCACGCTCCCCACGTACGCACCCACGCGCGGCCGCTTCAGTCTGCCATAGCTCCGTGCAGCCCGCGCGCGTACATCCGTGGGCTCCCGAAAGTACTTCCATAAGTTACCACAGGCACGCCCCCCATGTCCGCGCGTCGCCGCCACGCACCTCCACAGAGACACGAATCCCACAGCCTCGCGCGTCCCCTCAGGTGGCCCGCGCGCGCCGGCCCGCGCCCATGCGCCCCCACCCCTCACACGCAGCCTCGGCGCCTTCTCCCGTGTCCCTGCTCCCGCCTCCAGGGCGCCCGAGCCCTCCGGGCGAACCCGCGGCGGCCCGCCGGCCGTCTGCTCCGCCGCTCGGCGCGCCGCTCTCTCAAATCCCCGCAGACACGGGTAGGGTGCGCCGCCCGCTCTTGGCCCCGAGCCCCGACTACACGGGCGCCGGCCGCCCGGTCGAGTGGCCGTCCTATTTCCCATCCCTCCGAATCCGGGACGCGAGGAGGCGCGGCTCCCCTGCGTTGGGGAAGGACTTCACCTGATTCCCGAATGCAGTTCGCCCTTTCTTTACTACCTGCCGACAGGGAAGGGGTTCTGAAGAGAGTCCCAGAGTCTTTGAGGCGGAGAGGGGGAAAGGACGGAGAGAGGCGCTCAGAGGAGCGACACCTTGGGGCAGGGTGGGGATTGGGTGGGTAAAGGCGGGAAAACTGCAAAGGGGCGGTCCTACGGGCGTCTAGGGAAGACTTGAAAATCCTTTCCCGCCAATCCTGATTCCAGAACCTTCTGAGCTAGGTGATTCCACCGTCCCAAAGGCAGCTACAGCTGACAACATTACCAGCAGTTGGCCGTGCTTCCAGGAATCCACTGGTCTGGTCACAGGACACGGGGATTAACCCCGCCTTTTTATGTTCTAGAGAGGCAAGTGCATCTCAAGTGCTTGGCATAGTGTCAGGCACACTAAAGAATCCACCAATGATAGTGCTTATGATTAGCAAAGTTCTTCATTGTTTATTTGCCCCATTCGATTATGAATTTTATGAGGGAAAGGACTACGTGTTTTATTCATCACTAAACTCCAGCATCTGAAACAAAGAAAGTATAAATAAATGACGTGTTCAATGAATGAATGAATGAACGAATAAATAAGTAAATAACTGAATGATAGCTTGGACAGGAGGCTAAACAAGACCTTTCCCTCGGGCAAATAAGGGCTGTATTTGTGGGACTTTAAGGAAAAAGGTCATAATTGGAAAAGGTGAGACACAGAACCCTTGTTGATTGCTAGCTATATCAAATGACTTGCTCTGCTCTTGGAAAATGGGATGCCCAGCAATTCCCTACATGGACAAATGAAAGAATGTCAGACAACTGACCTGAAATTTGAAACTGATACAAGGCTAGCTAGAGCAGCATTTGCATCTTGTAGGGTTAATGAGTAAAAACAGGGTAGGGGGAGAGAGCTGAACAGAAAAATGCACCTCAGAAATAATAGTGCAAATATAAGTGGAGACTGGCAGAGAAGCTCTAAGTGAAGTTAGTGCATCGGAGAGGATAGTCATCCCAAGAGGGAATTTGTTGGCCAACCTAAAGATAACAATAATGTAATGTACCTCTCTGCTGTAGTCACAGGATTCCTAAGAATCTACTCTGATGTCCCAGTATTCTTCGGAAAGGTATGCTGATTAGGCTTCTATCACTGCATTCACTAAATTTGCACTGATGGAAATCCATATTGTAAGGGCTAGAGGGGACTTTAGAAATTACCCATACAGGGGCTGGGGATTTAGCTCAGCGGCAAAAGCGCCTGCCTGGCAAGCGCAAGGTCGTGAGTTCGGTTCCTGGTATCGGAGAAAAACCAAAAAAGAAAAAAAAAAAAAAAAAGAAATTACCCATACATTTCAATTCATAGTTAAAATACTAGGGCCAGAAATATACCTCATGGCACAGCGCCTGCCTGACAAGCACAAGGTCCTGAGTTTGATTCTTGGTACAAAAAAAAAAAAAACCACTAAAAAAAGAAGAAAATGAAAAACAAAAACAAAAACACAGAGACGGCAAAGGACATGGGCCTTGAGATTCTCTGGCCTTGGTACTGAATCTTGCAGGGCCGGAATTTCTGGCATAGCCCATTATTTCTTTTTTCTTTCTTTTTTTTTTTTTTTTTTTGGTTTTTTTCTCCGGTACCGGGAACCGAACTCATGACCTTGCGCTTGCCAGGCAGGTGCTGTGCCGCTGAGCTAAATCCCCAGCCCCCATAGCCCATTATTTCCTTAATCCCTGCCCCTTCCCCATCCCCTAGCACAAAGAGACTGAGAAGAATAAAAAGACATGAATGGGAGGTCACTGGAATGGAGGGAAAGAAGAAGTTTCAACAACCCTTGACCTTACTTTATTTTGCTTCCCCCAGCCACAGGGGAAGTTCCCTAGGACTTCATCAATGCTCTGTGGGAGAAGAACTTCATTCTTGGCACCCTAGTGACTTTGCACTGTCCACATAGGCCCAACAGGCAAAGACTTGAACTGAAGTTCATCTGAGTCTTGGCAGAACGCTTGTGATGGGAAGCCTAAGAGGAGCTGCCTCAAGGCCAACTCCTACTTGCTCTCTTATCTCCCCTAGAGGTTGTCACAAATCGGGTTTTGCCTCTGATTCTGGTTTCTATTGGGATACAAGGCTTCCTGACCTATGTCCCTCAGAATAGAGGTACAGACTATAAAGCTGCTTTGCTTCAGTCCAAAACTGGCTTCCTAGCAGTGGGATATCCCACAAGTTATATGGTAGCCCTCTGGCTCTGTTTCTTTGTAATCTTTTTAGGTGTTTGGGATAAAGACCACTAGGAACTGGAACTTTTTCTTGTGGTCCTGGTGATTGAACCACATTCTCAGCACCTTTTTTGAGACAGGATCTTGCTAAATTGCTAAATTGGCCAGGCTGGGTTTGAACTTGTGATTCTCCTGCCTCAGCCTCCCAAAGTGCTGAGATTACAGGCATGTACCACTACCCCAGGCTAGGAACTGAAACTTTTCACTACTGGGGATTAAACCCAGGGCCTTAACACTAAAATATATCCCCAAGAACTGCAAGTTTTGACTGCTTTGTCTCACTATGTAAATAATAAATTGAATCTAAGAATGACTTACTGTATCTTTACCTTCTAAATCAGCCAGGCCTTGGACTGTGCCTTGCCTGTGTGCTTGATAGCTGCTGTTAATTTCTCATTCCTGGTATGTTAAAGCACCCTCATTATCACTGAGGGAGCTGAACAAAAAGGTACAGATAATATTGGATCTTTCCTGCCTCTGTATATCACAGGGAAATTCAGTTCCAAATTCGTTTACTGGGATTTTCCATTTGGCTGGAGAAGTAGCAAGTTTTCCTTGCATTCTGCCTATGAGGCCAGCCCTGTAAGAGAGTAGAATTGGCATCTAAATTCCATTATTTGAAAGATTCTTCTTGGTTCAGAATGTGTCCCCTACATGACTTCTACCACACAGCCAGCTGACTATTCCACACCTGGAAAGTCCAAAGCTGTCCCTCACTTTATTACCCCTAGATTACACAATGAAAGCATTGTCTCTAGAAGAACCTTCTTAACATTGTTACTTAGTAAAGTAAGTAGTTGGTAAGGGTATGTATTGTCTCCACACTCCTCCGTTAGAACATTATTGATAGTAAATTTATTAGTTCTTCTGATGGTTCCCTCTGAAGGAGCCTGGCCTTAAAGGACAACAGCAAGACAGTTTCGGGAGTTCCGGGCCAGGATTATGTGCCTGAGGGGGATTATATAAGTGATGCTGGTAAAGTCACCAAAGACAAACCTCACAATGTGTAGGCTGGCCTTCTTGTTATTCTACTGATCAGGTTCTAATCCTATTTTATCAGCATTCACTAAGAATCTATTATGCACATGTCTCTATCCTAGGTCTTGGTAAGAGATTCCACTCACCACTATGTCTCCAGTAAATGCAGCCTTTCCTAATAAGAACTCATTGAGTTTAGAGATTTAAAACTATTTGAGAGGAATTATTGAACTGGGTGCTCCTTTATGAATATTAGAAATATTTTTCATACTAGCATCACGTCCCAGAAATGAAAAGTGCAAGGAATAGAAGGAGAGGCCAATAAATGCTGCTTCAATGACCAGGCCAGACCAGTTACAAGTGTAATTTGTGTACTCTGCTCAAGAGTTATAGGAAGACCATGTCCATCTTCCACTCCTGGAAATTCACAGTGAAGGAATCATTTTTGTTAGCTACCATGCTATGTATATTCCCAATATTCATGTAATAACCTTCTTGGTCATCGTTACACAAAGCATTTGTATCTGAGCCCACCTCACCACGACCTACAGGTTCAGCTTCGCCAAGACTCTGGGACCAAGTCTATTTCTAGGTAGGGGAACACAAAGAACACTGTGTCTTCTCTTCTCTGGCAAAATTAAATGGAGCTGCTTTTCAAAATATCACATCACACACAAAAGACCATATAAAAATGTTACTGTGGGCAATGGCTCACATTTGGCATTTATTCAGGCTACCATGTAGACTACTAAATACCTTATATTCCAGATCTTGGTTTCTTTACATTTTAATTCTGCTGCCTTTGGGACTCTGAACTGACCACCTGCTTCAAGTCACTTCTCTAACTGCCTCCTTGATTGTCCTGCTTCACTTCATGTTGAGTGACTGCAGTCTCAGTGTAAGCACAACTGTCACTAAAATATGCCCACTCCCAGCCCTAAATGACCTCCTAGCACTCGCAGGTTTCTCCCTACAGGCCAGATGTTGAAGAACAAGTCAGTTCACTTGCTTCTGGTCCAATTTTGACCTGAATCAATGGATGGGAGCACAGGTAATTATTTGTTCTTCCTTAACTCCTACCTTCTGGTTCAGTCTTTGACACTGGATGTGTCATGTTTCCTTGGACATTGCACCTTAATTTCTTTGGACTTTTAGACTATATCCTTCTCCTAAAATCAAAGTCCTCATGATTGGATCTTGAGTTTTAGACCTCCCAGACCCACTCTGCCCACATCTCTACCTATTATATGATAATTGGTGCTTCCCGAGTCACTTACCCAGTTCCAATGACTCATGACCATCTTCCACTTAGCTTGCCCCCAATTAAAATCCAGTGAGAGACAACCAAGAACTCATGAATACATATATATTTATTTAAGTCATAATATAGCGTTTTGGATGGTCTAGGAATTTCAGAAGGAGGATGAGACTGTGTAACACACAGACACTCATATTTCTGTCACCAGGAGAGACACTATTAGTCGAAATCTCCTAGTACGAACAAGCCTGGGGGTAAAGCATTTGATAAAAAACAGTTCAACAATAATCTAATAAATATTCTAGCCAATAACAATAACACAGCATTTGTCTAAGGCTGGCAGACCACATCATAAAAGGCAGTTTTGCCTGACCTGATGGCAGTAAGTCTGGCCAACTTGTAATACACAGCCAAATATATTCCAATGGCTCCAAGGCTGCAATTGGCTTCAGGAGCTAGAAGTGTGGGAGTGGTTCTTATCTATCTGCCTCATATTCTCCATTCCCTGGGGAAAAGGGTATCAAATATTTGAGCTTATTCATAATTTTATCCATGGATTGCCACATCCAGGTAGTCATATATAAATATGTAAACCATGGAAGC